AACAACATTTCTATGCTCCAAAATGCGTTGTTGAATTATTGATTTAAAAAATTATTGATCAGTTAGATTAGGTACTTTTGAAAAAAAATGCTGTTTATTAGATTCGAACATGTAAACCTGCAGACTCTTGATATTTCAAGAAGTAATGAAGACATTGCTTCATCGTTCTTTATTGTTTTTGTTAAGAATGAATGAAAAAAAATTATAAAAGATTTAATTAAGTAGTCACTATACTTAAAACTAGAAAATAAAGATATTTATTAGCTGCTAAAAAGCTAAAGCTACAGCAGGAGGACGGAACTAAGTTTTCTCTAAGCGGGAGTGCTGTCAACGGATGACGAGCAGGCGCTCAACAAAGATGAGTATTTTTTCCTATAATTTCGGAAAATTTATTTCCGCACAAGATCGGAGAGAGAGTAAATCATATCCCAACAAGAACACATCCCCTTTGAATGATCTTACTGTCATGAGTTTCAGTGCAGAATGATTTATAAGAAGTGGACAAATGCCGTTGGACTATCTCGCAACGATCAGGTAAACATCATCAATTTCGTCTACGAGCAGAAGCTCTGCTTCATAAGTAAGTACGCATAAGTATAAACATGTTGATAATACTGTACTTCGGTAGGGCAGAGGTATGACTAAAGTCAAGGTTGTATTGCTATAATGCCTTCAACCTGAGCACAAGTCAGGACAGAGAACATCATTAGATGGTCTAAGAAACATCCTATCAACTCCTGATCCTACTGAGAGCCCACTGAAATTGCAAAAGAGGTGATGACCTTGCAAATATCAATAAATTGTATGGCGTACGGTATCTTTCAGGGTGGTTTTTGCAAAGGAGCACGCCTATCGCCTCGCTAGCGCTACCTGCTTCATAGATGATAATCTGCTCTATAGCCAACAAACCGCTTGCGAGTGGAAGGTGGCCGCAGACAATCTTATAATGGACTTCATAATCATAAGAGAGTTGCACTATTTCATAGGGTTAGACGTCGGTGCGCATGAAATTTAGACCACTTTTTAAGGGACCACCCAGGATTTAAAACTGCCCAAAAGTAGTCTATTCATCTTGAGCAGTTGTGCATCTTTTCTGTCCTTTAATAGAGTGTCACAACAATGCGCCTTTCACGCGCTTTGATCCCTATGAGCTTTAGTTTAATGGATGTTGAGCAGAGTCATTGAGGGCAAAGAGCGAAGACAGTGGAGGACACATCTTCAAGGAGAGTTAAGAACGGAAATAGGGTAGCGAGACTTGTGACAGTCACGACAGCTGGGTCGGAGATTTAGAAAGCAAAGAAGCGAAAACGCGTCACGAGGGAAGGGAAAGAGGTTGGGGTGGCT